TGCCATCTGAATGATTTTTTTCCACAGCGAAGTTTCTCCTGTGCATTTGTGCCTTTCTTATGAGGAGAATGAGGGAGTTTATCTCCTGCATTCCTTTTAGGCCATAAAACCAGTGATCTCAGCATTGGTTACCATGGAACCAGAGGCCTGTTCTGCCTTTCTGAGGTGTTAGGTGCATTTCGGGGGAAGGGTCCATAGACCCTCGTAATTGGCCATTTGGTTAGGTGATGGGGAGTTCGATATTATTTGTTAAATATAACAAAAAGTTGTGTGTCTGATTGGTCCAAATGCTACAGCGGTCTATTGTTGTGGTATAATCCATTTCAGATAAACCCGCCCTTAAATGGCGTGTAAAAACATGAAATGTGATTGATCGCTTTATATGAAGGTCTTGCCCTGTCCAAGTAGACTGTACTTGGCTGCGATGTGGACCACACTTTAAGCCTTTAGTCAAAAGTCTGGCAGATGAGATTAAGTGACATTTCTAACAGTGATTTTTAACATGTAAAGGAGCTGAATATCCTTCCAATCCAAAAAGTGAGATAATAAATGCGAAAAAAGATAATAAAATCATCTTTAAATTTAGAAAAATGTGGTCACGATTCTTACCCTTGCTGTTTTCCTGTGAGAGAATGTTAATTAGGTCAACCTGCTGATCTTGTGTGTGTGTGTGTGTGTGCGTGTGCGTGTGTGTGAAGCCTGAAGTCTCAGGCCAAGCAGCACTGGAGCTTAACTCAGGAATCCAGTTGTTATCTGCACATTGAGCAGCTCTTGGCTGTCTTAGTGCTACTCCTCCTAGTAAAGGATAATGGACCCAAAAATCTTGTCATTCACTCACCCTCAAGCCGTTCCAATCCTGTATGACTTTATTTTTTTCTGTGGATCACAGAAGATGAATCTTAACAAATATCCTATTTTCAATTTAATGAAAGGTAATGACATTTTTGATGACAATACATCTTTTGCAGTCAATTTTGGAGTGAATAATGACTTAAATTTAGGTCTGCTTGTTACACAAAAGCAAAAAACATAGTATATACTCTTCCATTCAAAGGATATTGTAATGTGTTTAATGAAGTCTCTTATTTATTTGATCAAAAATACAGTAAAAACAGCAATACTGAGAAATATTATTATAATTTAAAATAATTGTTTTGTTTGAATATATTGTGAAAAAAAATGTTATTCCTTGGAATGGTAAAATTGAGTTTTCAGCAGTCATTACTCCAGTCTTCAGTGTCACATGATACGTCAGAAATCAATCTAATAGCTGATTTACTGCTCAAGGAATATTTTTTATTTTTATCAATGTTAAAAAAAACAGTTCCGCTAAATATGTTTTGTGGAAATCATGATACTCTGTTCAAAAGAACAGCATTTATTTTGTAACAATGAAAAAGTCTGTACTATCACTTTTAATCAATTTAATGCATCCTTTCTAAAGAAAAAGAAAAACTGAACACAAAATTTTTAAAAGATAGTGTCTATACGGGTTGTATTTATAGTGATTTTTTTTGCCACAGAAGAAAGAAAGTCATACCGGTTTAGAATAACATGAGGATGAGTAAATGAGATATTTCATTTTTTGAGTGTCTATCCCTTTAAGACTCACCACACTAATGAGGGTCCCAGAGGGCCGCTACTTCTGAACCGTGTTTAAACAGTCCAGCCACTAATCCTTAATCTACAAACATGGTACCTGAACTTTGGCCTTACTTGTACCAAGCACCATGGCTAGATTGAGGGATGGAGCCAGAGAGAGATGGTCGAGAGAGGCTGGTTTTATTACTGTACTCCTGCCCCTTAGCAACTGTGGGAAAAAGGAAAGTCTCACCCTCAGGGACACGTCAACGAATGGAAGTGACGATTCCAGAGCTTGAAGAGAGCTGAAAAGAGAGTATGTAGGTTATGCACTCTCACTTTCTCTTACTTTCTTTCTCACTTTTTCAATGTCTCCCACTCTCCCTTTTCCTCTTTTTCTCTCTGTCACGAAGTCCCACCCTCCTACCGCCCCTCCAAGACCTTCGCTAGTGCCGACACCATGCGCAGCTGTCGAGTGATTGATGTCATCTCTGAAAGCTGTCAAGAACTCCCTTCTTTCGTTCTATCTAAAAAGAAAAAAAAAACTTCTCTCGAACGCAGCAGGCTCGCCTAAGTATCGCCCATTTATCTTGACGCCTCACAGGTTGTGGTAAACCGGGAGAATGTATGCCATGCCATTGGGATTATTTTGTACTGTAGATAAAAATCTCAAATAAGGGAATATTTCTGAGAAACTTTGTGCTGTTTTTTCTTCCTTTCAACAATGACAGACCTTTCTTCAAGTGAATATTAATTCCTTTCACTCTGGAAATCTGAATTTCATTAAGGCCGCTCTTAATCCGTGTTCTGAGGAGCTGAGTGCGTATTGACAGAGCTTAAGATTCAGTAAAAACCGGGAGAATGTATGCCATGCCATTGGGATTATTTTGTACTGTAGATAAAAATCTCAAATAAGGGAATATTTCTGAGAAACTTTGTGCTGTTTTTTCTTCCTTTCAACAATGACAGACCTTTCTTCAAGTGAATATTAATTCCTTTCACTCTGGAAATCTGAATTTCATTAAGGCCGCTCTTAATCCGTGTTCTGAGGAGCTGAGTGCGTATTGACAGAGCTTAAGATTCGGTAGGTTTACACCTCGCTCATTTAAAAAGCTGTCCATCAGGGTGTTTATTCAGCGAATGTAAATTCACCCCCAATTACCATTCAGTTCCATGCGGCTTTAAATCCCCAAAAAAGAAATCTTCATCCCAGACAATTCAGATGGTCACAATAACTTAATCCCGAGATAATTAAGACAAGTCTGGTGAGGACAGTATTTTGCATGCACAACACTTCAAAAGAGATGCGATTTATGTTTGTTAAAAGTTTTTTGTTTTACCCCCTTGATTTGCATTTTTTTCCCTCCTGTCACATCCTTATTATCCCAAACTCTTGCCAGATCCTTTATGACTCACTGTGATTTAGAATCCTCCCTTAATTCTTTGTGCATCTGGATTTCTTCTTTAACGTTATATCTTTGTGATTTAACAATGCATGGTGTGGCCTACATCATTCTACATTACTGTCCAAAAGTTTGGTAAGATTTTTTAATGTTGCTACATGTGTTTGATCAAAAATACTAAGAAAGTAAGAAATATTATTACAAAAAAATAAATATTTTTCTATTTGAATATATTTTACAATGTAATTTATTCCTGTGATGGCAAAGCTGAATTTTCAGCAGCCATTACTCCAGTCTTCAATGTTACAAAATCATTCTGATTTAGTGTTCAAGAAACATTTGTTCTTTGTGAATAAAAAGTGTTCATTTCTTTTTTTTTAATTTATATATTTTAATTTTATATTTTTTATATAAAATAATTAATATTTTAAATTAAGATATCATATCACATAATATATCATGTATACTTATGCATCATCTTTAAGGGCCTGTGTCGTCATTATAACTGCGTTTCCACATTGTACAACTCATATGACTTCACCATTAATTTTCCCTCTGAAAAAGCCATTGCGAGAAACTACATGACTCTTAATCCCTGCGTTCTGCGTGCATTTTTCAGTAACGTCAATGTTTTCATACCCAGACAGAGTAACAACAGCCAGACTGCGGTCAGGGGAGTAACATATCTGATGTGTACTTGGAGGGAAAGAGAAAGAGGAAGGCAGCGGAGACGAGAGTAATTGTGTGGTGAATTCGAGGCCTGTGTTTTCTCTGTTCTCTGATTGGGGGGCAATGGGCAACAATTAGACTAGTGTGTTTTAGTGTGATCATCTCTTTTGGAAAGCAGCGGTGAGACAAATGTGGGGGAGTTACTGTAAGAAAGAAGAAATGAGAGTGGATACATACTGGAAAATACTGTAGAGGTAAAGCGTAGTTGAATGATTAATGCATGACATATGTGTCATCATAGGATAGGCTGCACATCTACCCTGATCCACAACAGCACAGCTAGGGTCTAATATGTTTCTCTCATCTACACAAATTACATTTGTCATTCTCTGTTGTCTACCGTAGCATCACAGCACAATTAACCAAATTAAAATCATCATTATATGCCTTTGTACAATAATTAATAAACAAAAGGAACTCAGGATGCAACTCAAGATAGATAGATAGATAGATGGATAGATGGATAGATGGATAGATGGATAGATGGATAGATGGATAGATAGATATTGCAGCTCATATCACAATGTTTGTCAAAAAAGTTTTTTGTTTTTTTTCAATATCGTACAGCCCTAATCCTTGCTTTAATGTGCTCTCTCCATCTCTTTGTCTTCAGGAAGTGAAGCACATCCTGAGATTCTACCTGATTGAACCTGTCTTTGAGCATATTTCCAGGTAGACCGACTCGCCCTGAACTCCCTCACCGCCTCTTTTCACCCTTGTCTGGCCTGTGTAAATAAGTCATCAATGGCTGTAGAATAGACGTGTTATTCAAAAAGAGAGATGGCCAAGGAGAGGAAAGAAGACGACAGGTGGTTATTAGAGGGAGGGAAGGAGAGGAAAGAACTGCTGAGACCTGCTTCCGTTTGTTCTGACTGTAATTACCGGAATCGTTATGCCCATTCAAACTGAATCCAAACACCTGCCCACTCACATTTTTGAGTTAAGTTGGTTTTATTATTATTTAAAAAAACAAAAAAAATCATGCTAGACAAATACTGTAAGACTGGACTATCATGTCTCATACTTAAATTAAGTAAGAACTACTAAGCAGTTAAAACAAGTTTTTTTTTCCCTCTCTCTCCTTATTTTGCCTTGGGCACCAAGTGAGCCAGGACTGCCTCAGTGCCCCTTAAAATACAGAGGTGCCTGTCGCTTCTTTTAATTAAAATCTCATCTGACAGGAAACAGACAATTGCTTGGAATTGGGAATGAGATACGTCAGAAAACAAGTATAAAGATATGGAAAGGAAAGGAAAGGAAAGGAAGATTGACAAACGGCTCACTCACTAGTGCAGGCAACAGATGGGGGGTCAGAGAGGGCTCTGTAGTAGCCGTCCTCGCAGTCACATCTCCATGAGCCCTCTCTGTCGTTATAACTGTGTGCGGGACAACGGGAACACTGAAGATCCTGAGATGAAGACTTGTAGAATCCACGACCACAGGCTGGATGGTGATGGAGAGAAAGAGAGAGAGAATTAGCATGTGTTCACATTTTGTATCATCTAGTGTTTGGATTAGACTGCCCCTGAAGCACTCTCATAAGAAAGAAAGAAAATGTCTCTTTAATATCTCAGTTGTTTCTTCTCAAATTATCAGATCGTGGTCAATGTATCTCTTCTAGGGTTTTAGAAGAGATCTAAACATTTGCTATCAAAAATCTGAGATTTTAACATGAACTTAAACAATTCTTATTCAATTCTCCGAGGAGCAAATGATCAGAGATATGCAAACCATATTAATTTTATATTTACAGCCAGTGGTGTTATAGTTAACAAAAACTAAAATAAAGCAAACATAAAATAAAATAAAATAAAAAAAGTTTAAACTTCGAAAAGTTCGAAATGTACCTGTAATTAAGTTTAAGTTGAAGTACTAAAATTACTAAAACTTAAACAGAAATAAAAAATTTCAGATAAATATATACATTTTTAAAAAATTACAAAAACACATAACAAAATTACTCAAACATAAAGTGAATAATAAAAAAAAGTTAATTCAAAACATTAATAAATATATAATATGTAAATTATACTAAAATAGCACTGTTTATAGCAGTAATTTTGTCAACAACTGTCCTTTTTTTCTCCTAAGATGTTTTAAGACACAAGTCGATACATAGAAAAATAAATAATCATAAAGAAATATGAAAAGATCAAATTCTGAGCACTAACATTTTCTGCTGGGTCATTACAACACACACTGAGTCACTCATATGTTGCATCAACCAGGGGCCTTATATTCCTGATCACCCCAAAAGCACTAGCATGCTTGCCTTTACACCACCTCTAGCAGTCAGAAATGTCCTAGAGGCAAGGTTACTGTGGAAAATAGGAAACTTAAATGGATTATTTCAGTATTTCACCTTTTATGAGAGGAAAAAAGGACATCCCACAGGCAGCCAGGGATCAGAGACAAAGCAGAAATTAGGGCCAGATCGCTTTAGGCTATGCACAAGAATCACCCTCACACGTTCCAATGACAACGAGTCATTTACTCCCATTCTTTATTTCATATGCCCATATGGGCTGAATTGCCAACAAAGTATTATAATCATATATTACTATTTGCATTATAATTAGACAACATTAAATACCTAATAAAATGATTGTTCCCTTTTATTCAGTTGTTCATGACTTTATAATTCATCACTAGAAAAGGTGGTGTTAATTAACCTTCTGAAAAAGAAAAAAAATGCAGAGAGAACAAGTCTGGGGTGATTCCACAGGCTGAGGTATTTTCTAGTTCACATCAGTAAGCAAAGAGAAATAAGCTATTTTCGGTTTGGCCTTTTGGTCTGCACTGCTGAGAGCCACTAATCCACACTTAGCAGCTGTTTGCTTAAAACCCCCTTCAGCCTAAAGAGGGAATCGGGCCCACATGATTTTTCTTAAACCCCAACCATGCCCACATCCCCTGGATAAATATTACTTTGTTCACAGCTATGCATTTTAATGATTATTACCAGGGACACAACACTACTGATTATCAATTCCCAGCCTAATTTTTAGATCTCAGTAGTTGCATTATTTCCTAAAGGCCTTCAAAAAGAGGAGAAAAAATCCTGCAGATTTCCGTGACAAGACTAAAATGGAGATCGCATAGGAGGTCGACCGATTTCCTCATTTTAAACACCACCTTATTGAGATGGGGGGTGGCTGAAGGATACGGTATCCTCATTTCAGCTACATGAAAGCCCTGTCACTGTGTATTTAGCTCAGAATCATGGCATGGTGTGGCTGTGCAATGTAAAGAACAAGAGCCTTCTGAGGCTGAGAAGTGGAGGAAAGGGATGTGATTTTAACCAGTGAGGACTTGTAATTGAAAGCAGCAAGTCTAGTTCTTGTTGTAAGGAGGTGGTGCTGGCAAAGTGTACCGTGAAATAGCCATGGTTTAATGGTATTTATGTATTTTTCCATGTAGTATTCATTTAATTGTATTGAATCATTTTTCATTGTATAAATGAAATAATTACACCAAAAAAAAAACATTCAACAATATATGTGTAGTGTCAAAACATACAGTATTAAGATTCCTTTCCATATATTTATACAGTGTTGTCTCTGAACAAGGGATTTCCAAACATTGGAAAGGAGAAGAAAAGAAGGAGAGGGAAAATGAACAGGAAAAGAACCAGGAAAAGAAAATGCTGAATACAGGAGGAAAAGGAAGGGACAGTAAAGTAAAATAACCGGTAAAAGGAAAGATAAGAAAGAAACAGGAAAAGGAGAAGACAACTAAGAAAAAGCACAAAAACAGAAATTGAAACAAGAAAATGAAAAGAAAAAGAAAAAAAGGAAAAGGGAAAGATAAAGAAGACAAACAGGAGAAAGTACAAGAAAGGTAAGAAAAGAATAAAACAAAAGGAAAATTAAGGGAAAGGGAAAGGGAAAAGGAAAAGGAAAAAGGAAAAAGAAAAGGAAAAGGAAAATGGAAAAAGACAGGTACAGGAACGCGAGCAGAAGAAGCAAGAAAAGTAACAGGAAAAGACCAGGTAAGGAAGATGAACAAGAGAAGGAACAAAAAAGTAAGTAAAGAACAAAACAGAAAAGAAAGCGGACAAGGAAGGTAAGGCGAGGAATGGGAAAATGAGAAGGAACAGCAGAGATAAGGCAAGGAATGAAAACAGGGAAAGAAAAGGGGAAAGGGAAGGAATGAAAAGAAAAACACTCAGAAAACAGGTACAAAAGCTGTCACTGGGGCGGTACTTTTTCAAAAGGCACACCTTTGTACCTAAAGAGTCCATATTGTTACCTTAAAGAGGAGCATATAAGTACCTAAAGTGTCCATTTTAGTACCTAAAAGGTACCGCCCCAGTGACAGTTTTTGTACCTTTTTTTCTGAGAGTGAATGATAAAAAAGAGAAACAGGACAGTTAAGAGAAGGGAACAGGAAAGGGAAAGGGAAGGAATGAAAAGTTGATGAAAAAAAGAAATGGGACAGGAAACACAGAAACCATTTTCCTGGTAAGCTGGTGTGTCTGTTAGTTTTAGTTTTCAGCTCTGAGCCGATCTGTATGGGGAAAAGATCTCGCCTGAGCCCGAGAGCTCAAGACCTGGCTGTGGGCACTCAACGGTTCATTCGTGAACACACTTAAGATTAGCGCTATCGCAAATCACCAAAACAGGAGGACTCTCAACTGCCGACTCGACTGGCTTTTACGTCTCTGAAGCGGGGACGGTTTATTTTTACATCCATGTGATCAGGATTTGTTTATCGCGGCATCTGAGAAGCCCAAGTATCCCCAAGTTGTTTACACAAGCAACCAACCAGCAAATTAGGCCTCAAATCAAATGTAGCGCTGACACAGGGGTCCGCCTGAGAACCTGTCTCCACTCCACCTCTCTGGTTTTACTATGAGTGACATGCACGAACACGGCCCTTTCTGGGGCCCAAATTCCTGCCCTCCCAACATAGATGCGCAAATACTGCCGCTGAACTAGTCAAAAAACACGCTACCATTGTGCTAACGCACTAACCCGCCACCGCAGAGATAAATGATAGCTTTGTTTTACCCTTCCTGACAGCTTTATTTCTGTGGGAGAAAAAGATGAGGCTTGCCCAATTATGCCTCCTTCTGCCATGCTGCATAATGTCTGCTAGCATGTAATCATGACTGAATTAGCGCTACATGACCCCGTGTGCCAGCGGCTCTTGAGAGCATGCTAACCAATCTATGAAACTGACATTGAGACGATATCCTCCACTTAACTGCCCATTTCGGCTCTGAATTGAAAACATGTTCTGCCAACATAACCGCTTGGCTGCTAAATTGTGAAACGGAAAGGAAAAACACTACCTTAAACGGGTTTAAAAACTTTGCTGAAGGACTTGGTGAGCACTGGCTTTATTCGAGCTGCCACTAGCATGAAGGCAAACTAATGGGATGTGCTTGTTGACATGGGCACGCAGAGCAGGCAACAGCAACCTCATTTACTGCACAAAGAAATTAGTCGGCCCCTTAGAAACACAGGTTGAGGTTAAACAGAACAACAGAGAAAACAGCCTGACATTTCTCCCAGAGTCTATAGCAGGCAGCGAGTGCCAGCATCGCTAATTTACCTTTCAGTGGTCAAGCACTCTGGTTCAGCTAAAGGGGGCTTGACTGCTAAATTGTGAAACGGAAAGGAAAAACAGTAGCTCAGGCAGGTTTAAAAAGTTAGCTGAAGGACTTGGTGAGCACAGGCTTTATTCGAGCTGCCTATAGCATGAAGGTGAGCTAATGGGATGTGCTTGTTGACATGGGCACGCAGAGCAGGCAACAGCAACCTCATTTACTGCACAAAGAAATTAGTCGGCCCCTTAGAAACACAGGTTGAGGTTAAACAGAACAACAGAGAAAGAGATTAAAACAGCCTGACATTTCTCCCAGAGTCTATAGCAGGCAGCGAGTGCCAGCATCGCTAATTTACCTTTCAGTGGTCAAGCACTCTGGTTCAGCTAAAGGGACTTCATGAATCGTGCCAAAAAACAGCTGTTCGCTTAAAAAAAAAAAGTCCCATCAGTGCCATAAACACTCATTTAAAAAATAGATTACTTATTTTTTTGGGGGTGCGGGGGATTAGGTCTATGAACGAAACACTAATAAAAAAAAATAATTGTGAAAGGGTAAAAACAAACACTGAGGAAAGAGCTCTGGCACAAACCTTCAGGAAAAGCAGCTGTTAAAATCATTTGCATGCCGCTAAGCTAAATACAAGGTTGAGGTTAAACAGAACAACAGAGAAAACAGCCTGACATTTCTCCCAGAGTCTATAGCAGGCAGCGAGTGCCAGCATCGCTAATTTACCTTTCAGTGGTCAAGCACTCTGGTTCAGCTAAAGGGAAAAAAACAGGTCTCTCAGCAGTTCTTACACGGCACTGATAATGCAGGAAGACTTTGCTTCTATAATATCTCAATCTCTAATATGTATTCTGCACAAGCCAGTCACACAAAAATCATGTCT